TTACTTTAAAGTAAAAAAAAAAAGATTAAATTGTGGGATGACTGTGCATTGTGCATGTAGGATTTGGATGACGTGAGTCTTTGTAATTATTTTCCCCTGCTGGCAAATACAGAAATTGACATCCATTGTTTATGACTTGGTCTGGTTACTTTGTTAAATGCAAGATTGAGCTCATTGAGACTATTATTGCTAACATCTTTTCAAAACTGTTGTGCTGTGTTTGAGTCTATAGTTGGTACCATCTTTACTTCATAATAGAATATAGATTCGTATATAAATTTAGGCGTGTGTTTCTTTTTTAAACAGCTAATTTTTCTTGGGCTTTTGGATACTGTTATTTCAGAATCCGGTCTTGGGGGAAAAATTCATCAAAGTGCAAAATGGACAATGAGGTTTCAGAATAGCACCAATATTTTGTTAAGGTATTTGTAATTATTACCTAGTCTGATAATGGCCAAGATGCCTGAAGGACTATTTTTGTATATACCATGAACTGTACTTACTGGTCTCTGAGCAATTTACTCCATTGTATCTGCTTGTTTTGAATACTGTTATTCTTCTTAATCTTGGTATTTGTGTCATGGTCACTGAAAATGCTATGGGAACAGTTGTATTTCACAAAATGGCTGTCATGGTAACCATCAAGGTTGTCAAGGAAATCATGGTTGCCATGTGATTGTGTAAGTGTGAATTAGAATGACCTGTTTCATTCACTTTACAAAGAAATAAGACTATACCTCTTGTATTTTAGCATGGATATTTCTTGCAGCTTGACTCTAGTCCCATTTAATGGTATCTGATATATTTCAACAAAATTAATTTTGTACGACAAATCTCATCCTTAAGATAACTTCAGCAGTAAGGATAGATGGTTTGAGAAAATATTTTTCTGAATTTTTTACATTTGTGTAAGACATCTATATGCAAGCAGCCTGTGCACACCAAATTTTGAGTCTCTCTCTCTCCTATGAAATATAATAATGTTATATTATCTATTTAAAGATACATAGCTTTTAATCCTAATGTTGTAAGCAAATCGGGCATTTTTGTATGTATTGTGAATACTAGACTGATGGAAAGTGTGTACAAAGCTTTTGTATAGTTATGTGTTGGTATTCATGTTGATCTTGTAGGCTAATTATGTAATAAATTGTGAAGGAATTTCATTGGTCATTGTTTTTCTTTCATTTTAGAAAAAAAAGCATTATCAAAAAAAAGGGGGGGATAATGCAATAATATGCAGAAAGAATGCAAATGGCTTCTTTTTGTTTACAAAATTATTTTGGAAATTTAATGCTTCCCTTGATCTCCTAGGCGCAACATATCTAAAAACCCATTGGTAAAATTATGAGAATTAATCCCTAAGGGTATATTTTGGTTGTTAATTTTCTAATAGATATGAGGACAGGTGAACTTCACTTGTATTGGTAAAATAGCAATTTAGAAAGGTTTATAGCCTGTTTTCTGAACTACTTTAGTGATGAAGGGGAGGGTGATGTTTGCGGAATGGATTTATTTATTTTCTACGCATTACATTAATTGAATGGTGTGAAAATTTAATGAGAGTCACCTCCACGGGAGAGGTGTCCACGGTAACGAATATTCAGGAACATAAAAACGTGCAAAAATTATAACTGCGATGTTTACTGTGGGCCGAGGAACGATCGAACTTCTCATAAAGTGCCTTAAAAGACTCAAGAGTTGGGCGTGCTTCTTACATGTAATGCTGTAATATTTATAAATGAATGAATGTATAAGNCGTACCTATTGACTGCGCCGTCATAGGTGTATATTCCGTTGCATGTGGGTTTAACGTCATCGTTGGATCTGTATAGGATGGCACAATGTACGGTTGTGGTAGCTGTGACGGTTGTGACGACTGGGCTGCCGTAGGGAACTGCTGTGGTTGATTTGTCCTTGACATCGGTTTCGGTTGAGTGGGCTCCGTCTCATATGACACTCCTAATTGCTGAAGCTGTTGCATGGAATGCGGGTGATGTGCATTCATGCGTGACCGCTGTTGCTCACTCTGATGTTGCTGTTGTGCACTGATATGTTGATGAGAAACATGATCGGAATTTGTCAGATTATGTGCATCAATAGTATCAACGTTACCTTCTTCCATGGAATTAAAGTAGCGGTCAATCGTGAAGTTGTGTTCCGATAAAGATGCGTCTTCCTGAATCTCAGCCTCAATTTCCCGCCGTCTCACCTGGGCTCGTAGGGAAAGCATTCTCATTTCATCTTTAAGTTCTTGCTCACGATACCGACGCCTTAGTGCGGTTTCCGCTTCTTCGAATTCCAGCTGAGCATTAGCCATAGCGAGTGCTGCTTTTGTCCTTTGGGATTCCGATGCCGAACGTAAACTGTTGGTTCTGAATCGTCTATGAGAAAGTCCGAAATCTTGTAAGCTGCCGTGGTACGCCATGATGGAAATTTCCGTGGGATGATTGAAAAATGTTTTTACTTTATATAACACGCAGGGGTTATACAGGTTAAATAAAAGTCAAAGAAAAGGCATGTGTTTTTCACTGGATCTTGGTTTATTCACATGGATTCACAAGACACGTAAAAACTAAAAAGAAGAAAAGAAAAGGGAATTACAACAATGTTCTTACTAACGGTTATTTACGTGTTCAAATTTACTTACTCAAAAAACTTGTACATTTCAATAATCACCAATAATAAATAACTAATCATCAATAATCAATAATAATCAATAAACAGTATTAAAACTCACCATTTCTGCCATTCCTTTAAACTATAAATTTCAAGTAGAAATAACGGATTCAAAAGTAAGAGTACTATGTGTTCCTCCTACGGAGACACTATGATGAATGAAACAAAGTGCAAAACTCATGGGGCACCACCCTGAATGAAAACTTGTCATTTATGCAAATGAATGCATTAGATGAGCTGGACACCAGGCTCCTCAATCACAACAAAAGTAAACTAAACCTTACAGTAGCATTAATGATTTACATTGAAGATAGGTCCAACTTTCTCCCCTCTCAGGATCTTTTCAAGTGCGCATCATATTTGAGCCCCAGTTCAGTTAGGCTTGGCTCAACTTGGTTGTGAACAGGGGTTCTGGTACCATATGCTCACTGTTGTTCAGCTAATGTAATCCTCTGTTCTCCTGAACAAGTTGCTATGCAGTGTATCCAGGGCACTACGACTAGTTACTCTTATCATATGGCCTACACAGAACAGTTGTACAGAGTATTTGGTAATGTTTTTTGAACAGACTTTCATGAAACAGCATGTGGGTGCCAAATAACCAATTTTTTTCCCAACTTACATAAGACACACCAGTCTATCATGAGGTGGTTGTTCTACATGTTCCAAAAACCAAGACCCTTACACCCCATTTCCATAGATTTTTAGATCGATCTATCCCTGTGGGGAGTCTCACTTGATTACTGTCAGCTTGGCTGGCTTAAGTGTCTGTCCCGCCTACTAAAAGCTGTAAGGGGGTAATTGACTATGGTGCCCACTCAGCTGACTGCAATTTAGCGTGAACCCCCAGTGAGTTAGGTCGATCTAAATCTTAATCTCTAGATCGATCTAAATCTCTGGGAAAGCACCCTTATAATAGAGCTTTAAGACAAAACACCTAAAGAGCAAATGAAAGGAACTCTTATCTACCGTATTACATGTGACTCTGATCCACCACCACCACCACATGCACGCACGCACGCACGCACACACAGGAAAACAAGAACAGAGACTGTAAGGACACACCTTACAGCTGTTTAAAAGCGGGTTCCTCAGGCTCTGTTTCTTTATAAAAACATGAAAATATTCTAGCTAGAAAGCAGCAATGGACCTGGACAAATGACAGAGCAGCAGTCAGTATACATCTTCATTTACTCTGCCATGATCTCCAAGGAAAATATTAATTGATCTGAATAGTAGTGACCTTTTCAGTGCAAATTATCACCTCAATATTTTGTCCAATTTTATTCATCTGGCATCATCACTATTAGATAATGTGGCGAGGAAGATTGTTCTGTGACGTGGGCAGGAGAACCGGAAATTGTTATCGCTTCAGGGTGACAGTGATGTGAATTTTGCTCTTTTTCGATGATGCTTCTAGAAAAAACAAATGCTTTTCAAGATTGAGTGGTCATTTGACATTATTACTAGTATGCACACGTGTAGGCAAAGAGCTTATATATATATATATATATATATATATATATATATATATATATATATATATATATATATATATACTCGAACATAGCGTCTTTGTTTGTCTTAGAATCTAGATAGAAAGAAGGGGGATTATGGGAATTTGTAAAAGGGAATGTATGTTTATTTTTACCAGTTAGATAATTAGCTTAAATCACCCTTGTTTAAAGGAAAGTTTCAAATCTAAAATCACTTATAAAACACGGGGAAAATAACACTTCGTATAACGGGCCTCGTGTTTATGAGTGTAGCTCACGTGGGAGGCACCTTCTATACACTGATGCTGTTTCTCCCTCTGCCCCCATCCACAGTAAAGTCCTGGTTCCCGCAGTGGTCTCAATCTCCACCCAAACCACCCACCCACCTTCCCCCCCCCCCTCCCCCCCGGCCCCAAAAACAAAATAACAATTGTGATGAAATCTTCAGGATAGACAGGTACCCAGGAAGGAAGGACGTCATAGCAATTTCAGCAGTTGATTNAAGATGTGCTTTGGGCTACGACCTAATTGTGCAGGTGTTCTGCATACAAGCACACCTGGCTGAATACTTTGAATGTGTAAGAGAAGAAAAGGTTATATGTATTTCTAATTGCCCACATTGTTTTGTCTGACCTTAAAATGGTCTTACCTGTATAAACCTAGGGTTCTCTACCATTATCATGCCATTAGAAATTCTTCAGTATTGAATTGGCATAAACAGTACAGTTATGATGGGGAAATCAGATTTCAAAAAAAAAATAATAATAATAATAAATAAATGAAAAGGAAACACTATTCAGACAGCTTTCTCTTTTCTCACTGCAGGATGATGCAAGAATGCTGTTCTCGCTAGCGGGCTCTGACGACGGCGAGCTTTCCCCAGACTTGGCGGCTGTGATGAAGAGACTATGGAAGGACTCCGGGGTCCAGGAGTGCTTTAGTCGGTCCAGGGAGTACCAGCTCAATGACTCAGCAGAATAGTAAGTGAGATAGTCATGCATGAGATATGACTGCATGAATTCATGCATTTCTAAATTGATGAAACAAATCAAACCTTGAGCTCATGTAAATTTATGTACCCTTTGCTTTGAAATGTTTAAAGGCCTTTGGGGGGGGGGGGGAGAATACATACTGTGAAGAAAGATAAATAAGTCATGATGGAACGACCTAAATTGTAGATATTAACTATTTGTTTATTTGTGTTATTTTAGCTACCTGAATGCCTTAGATCGTATCTCACAACCCAACTATGTCCCAACAGAACAAGATGTTCTCCGGACCCGAGTGAAGACAACGGGGATTGTAGAAACACACTTCACATTCAAAGATTTGCACTTTAAGTGAGTTGAAGCACAGTGGCTCTGAACTTTGATTTTAAAAGAAAACAACTGAATTTAAATGTTTGTCCTTGTTTTAAAATCATAAACTTATGTCTGCTTTGACCTGGTGACAGATTGATAACTTTTTTATTGGGGGGAGGGGGGGGCATGTAAAATAGATTCAATTGTTTCAATCACTACACTTTATTTTTCGGGGAGAGTCAGCCTCTTTTAAAAGAGATAAAAATTGTTTAAGTAGACCCCAGAGTGAGCCATTTAACAGCAGGAAGGCTCATAGTGCAGCTCTCTGCTTTTTCAGGATGTTTGATGTTGGAGGTCAAAGGTCAGAAAGAAAGAAATGGATCCACTGTTTTGAGGGCGTGACTGCCATCATCTTTATTGTCGCCATGAGCGAGTACGACCTCACACTGGCTGAGGATCAGGAGATGGTAAGCTCTAGACATGTTTCACCCAAGAACTTTAGCCGGAAAACTGATCTATATTTTTAGAACAAAAGAAGGATCTGTATAGATCAAGTATAAATCAGTAGCAGTCCAATTAAATAAAATACTGTGTATGTTGTATAACAGAATAAGTATGGCTATTATTTTAGACCTACTGAGTTATTTTAGTGGACTAAATCGCTGGCTGAAGTTCCTACCTGAAGCTCGTCCCTGTAAATCTTTTCATGAAGTCTGATATGATGGTGGAAAAATCATAATGTGGCATTTTTATTTTAATTTTGTTTGTCTTCAGCTTTTGGTTGCTTTACCCTGTTTTTTTACCAGCATTTTTATTATCTTTACCTACTTTTTGCTTTGAGAGTTCCAAAAAAGGAGTTGACATTTTTCTATCCTTCAGAACTATTTGACTTTTCTCATTAAAAAAGAATGTAATATAAAATACTTACGATATATGAAAGTGGTGGTTGTAACTTAAGATGTGTACATTCCCATTTTGGGATCTAAGATTCTTACTCAATAAGTATTATTTTAGAAACCCTCGAAAAAATATTTAATTTTTTTTCCAGAACCGTATGATGGAGAGCATGAAGCTGTTTGATTCCATTTGTAACAATAAGTGGTTCACGGACACATCCATAATTCTTTTCCTCAACAAGAAAGATTTGTTCTCAGAGAAAATCAAAAAGTCACCGCTGAGCATCTGCTTCTCTGAGTATCAAGGTGAGGTTTGTATGCTGTGTATGCACGTGTGGGACTGCATGTGGCAATACAAGTGTTTTTACAAGTGTAATTACTTTTATCTTTTTAATAGGCAGATACATAATTTTATCATCACAAAAATATTTCCGTATATCATTTGTGGTGATCTTTTTGCATAGAATAGCCTGCCTCTTAATTTTGTTTCTATCACTCATTAGGAATGGTCTAATCTTAAGAAATTACAACTTAAAAATACAGAATCTGTAAAATTAACAAATTTCCTCCATTGAAAAGATGAGAAATTCCTGTGGGGGGTACTTATCTCTTTGGTCAAACAAACGTATTTTGTAATCTACATGTGTACATGTTGAGTGGGCCTAAAACGTACATTTTTCAAATTGTCATATAATATTTGGTTAAAACTGCTGTGCTAGTAAGAGACAAGGATGCCTATTGTTGATATTATATACATGTAAGTTTAAGCTTGGGCAATGAGGCCCTCATCTGGAGGATTTTCTATATATCTCTTACAGCAGTGCAAATACCTAGAATAACCTCCTGTTTTTTGCCTGGTAGCTCCATAAGTGCACTTAGTGTATGATTAGATTAACTTTGGTATTATCTCTCCCCTTTTTTTCCTGTAGAAAAAAATCATTCAGATGCGTCTCCTGTCGTATTGACTTTTTCTATAGCTGAAAGTTGTGAATGATTTATGTCACAGCTGAGAATAGGCAGGCTTGTTGATTGAAGTGATTTTTCCTGAAAAGGATGTCATCACTGCGTTGATTCTGTCCAATTTGATAAAGTGAAAGGAAACATATTCATGGAAGTGACATGTGGTAAATACTCTGCTAAATCCAGGTTAAATCAAGTTCTTAGAAAGTTGAGGCTCTGTATGGAAAATGTGTTAAAATGTGCTGTAAACACACATTGTCAACTGTTTAATAGTGTGTTAATGAGTGAAACTGAATTTTGGAAGTGGAATATATCATGTGACAAGATGTCATTAGGGCTAATTTGATTCTTTGTAATCGGGGCTTCAGCTGATTCTCAGAAATAACATGATTATTCCATAGAAGTAGTAAATATCAACCGACCTTGACTCTTCTCCGGATGAGCTATTTGTTTTTGTCAAGCTAATCTGAGGCTTAAAGTTATTTATTTATAGATTATGTATGTTTTGCTAGCATGAAGGCTTCGTAAAGCTCTGTATTGAGTTCAGACATGAGCTTTTTCTGCTGAAAAGTGGAATTTCGTGTTTTTTAATTCAATTCTGATGGTTCCTGAGATTCGTCAAGGTTAGGTGTTGGGTCCCATGATAAATGTTCAGAGGGTTTTTTTTTTAACCTAGGCTCATGTTTGTGTTGTGTTCATTCTAGACACTCATTCAGGATGTTAGAATTAGAGTCAGTGAAAAAAAAAGCTTGATGTATTAAATGTATGACTACTTGCCAGATCTCATTCTTTTCTGTTGCTGTAAAAATGAGATTTGATCTTTTGGGCTAACATCAATTAAGGACTTTTTCAAAGGTTTTATATATATATATATATATATATATATATATATATATATATATATATATATATATATATATATATATATAACCAGTATGTTTATAAGATTTCAAAGCACTGAGTAATGAATGTTTTATTCTGCCTGTAGGATAAACATATGGTGTTCTTGGTAAGCTCACAGAGGCCGTGACCTTACTGAGTAAGATGTACTTTTGGTTATATCTTGGTAAATGATAGTCACAAAAGTATGTTTGGCTAAAAGAAAATATTTTTCTCAACAAAATGTGATATGGGCCATTTTTTGTTGATATTGTGGAAGTTTGATTTTTTTAAAAGGCTAGAATGCCCCAGTTATTGAATATTTGGGTATGACCCCTGGAGAGGTGACCTCGTGTGTGTTAGGTGACACAAGCCCTTAAGCGACCTCTAACCAACTGCATTTGATACAAGTCCCAGTGTGGGTTTTCATTGAATTATGAAATGTTTGTGCACCTGGTTTTCCTGCATGTTGCACTACATCACAGGTGTTGTTGTGAAACACAGTCATGTCCAGGAAGTCACACTGTTAATTGTCTTTAGGCGGATAGGATGCATTTGTTTGCATGTTTGTGTTTTCCTAAAAATATTTTCCTATTTCTTCCATGGATAATATTACTTACAGTGCTCAGAAACACATTCATTGACTTGCCTGTATTTTAAATTCTCTCTCTCTCTCTCTCTCACACACACACACACACACACAGACACACACACACACACACATGAAGAGCAATACTATATACGGAATAAATGAGTTATAACTTTCCAACACTTCAGGTCCAAACACATACGAAGATGCAGCAGCATACATACAGCTTCAATTTGAGAAACTGAACAAGCGTGCAGAAACTAAAGACATCTATTGCCACTTCACGTGTGCCACAGACACCAACAACGTGCAGTTCGTATTTGACGCCGTCACAGATGTGATCATCAAGAATAACCTGAAGGACTGTGGTCTTTTCTAAAAAAACAGAAGGTAGGTAAGTTGGAGACAAAAATAGAAAAAAAACTTTCTAATCTTTTGCAAAGACCATAACAATTTAGTCTTCGTTTTATTTAAGACTATTTGAAATGTTTGTAAAATTAAAATTTGGTATGAACATCATAAGTTGGCCATTTAACTTAGTTGTCATTAAACTCAAAGGCCTTTAGTAGTTGTGTACAGGCCATTTGTGATGATTTAACTTAGTTCAACTTTTTCTTTCAAGGCAATTGGCCATTGGAAACCAAGACATCTTTGCCAAGAACTTTTAATGAGACAGTATCAGTGGATGTCACCTTTTTCTTTACGTTGCTTGCTGAGCTTCATGGAGAATTTTTTCCCTGACCTTACTAAAAGAGGTCATTGACATTAGGAACAGGTTCAGAGGATTAATAGACAGGGAAAATGTATTGATACTATTTTAAGCTTCAGCTGACACATTTTTTTCTCAACTGAGTATTACGCTTACCAGTTTGATTGAACATTCACTTAATATCATTTAAAGAAGGGCACAATCAAGTCTTTGGATAATTGAAGGATGCAGAACATAGATAAAAGGTTCTGAAATGTTTTGGGAGATACTTTTTCTGCACTTGCAAGGTAGACAATTGAGGACCAATTTGATTATGGTTTGTGACTATTAAGAAAGGCCTATAACCATACAATTTGTATATATTAATAAAGGAAACCTGATTTTACTTTAAAGTAAAAAAAATATTAAATTGTGGGATGACTGTGCATTGTGCATGTAGGATTTGGATGACGTGAGTCTTTGTAATTATTTTCCCCTGCTGGCAAATACAGAAATTGACATCCATTGTTTATGACTTGGTCTGGTTACTTTGTTAAATGCAAGATTGAGCTCATTGAGACTATTATTGCTAACATCTTTTCAAAACTGTTGTGCTGTGTTTGAGTCTATAGTTGGTACCATCTTTACTTCATAATAGAATATAGATTCGTATATAAATTTAAGCGTGAGTTTCTTTTTTAAACAGCTAATTTTTCTTGGGCTTTTGGATACTGTTATTTCAGAATCCGGTCTGGGGGAAAAATTCGTCAAAGTGCAAAATGGACAATGAGGTTGCAGAATAGCACCAATATTTTGTTAAGGTATTTGTAATTATTACCTAGTCTGATAATGGCCAGGATGCCTGAAGGACTATTTTTGTATATACCATGAACTGTACTTACTGGTCTCTGAGCATTTTACTCCATTGTAGCTGCTTGTTTTGAATACTGTTATTCTTCTTAATCTTGGTATTTGTGTCATGGTCACTGAAAATGCTATGGGAACAGTTGTATTTCACAAAATGGCTGTCATGGTAACCATCAAGGTTGTCAAGGAAATCATGGTTGCCATGTGATTGTGTAAGTGTGAATTAGAATGACCTGTTTCATTCACTTTACAAAGAAATAAGACTATACCTCTTGTATTTTAGCATGGATATTTCTTGCAGCTTGACTCTAGTCCCATTTAATGCCATTATGGTATCTGATATATTTCAACAAAATTAATTTTGTACGACAAATCTCATCCTTAAGATAACTTCAGCAGTAAGGATAGATGGTTTGAGAAAATATTTTTCTGAATTTTTTACATTTGTGTAAGACATCTATATGCAAGCAGCCTGTGCACACCAATTTTTGAGTCTCTCTCTCTCCCTCTCTCCTATGAAATATAATAATGTTATATTATCTATTTAAAGATACATAGCTTTTAATCCTAATGTTGTAAGCAAATCGGGCATTTTTGTATGTATTGTGAATACTAGACTGATGGAAAGTGTGTACAAAGCTTTTGTATAGTTATGTGTTGGTATTCATGTTGATCTTGTAGGCTAATTATGTAATAAATTGTGAAGGAATTTCATTGGTCATTGTTTTTCTTTCATTTTAGAAAAAAAAGCATTATCAAAAAAAGGGGGGATAATGCACTTATATGCATAAAGAATGCAAATAACTTCTTTTTGTTTACAAAAATTATTTTGGAAATTTAATGCTTACCTTGATCTCCTAGGCGCAACATATCTAAAAACCCATTGGTAAAATTATGAGAATTAATCCCTAAGAGTATATTTTGGTTGTTAATTTTCTAATAGATATGAGGACAGGTGAACTTCACTTGTATTGGTAAAATAGCAATTTAGAAAGGTTTATAGCCTGTTTTCTGAACTACTTAAGTGATGAAGGGGAGGGTGATGTTTGCGTAATGGATTTATTTATTTTCTACGCATTACACCTTTAACTGAATGGTGTGAAAATTTAATGAGGGTCACCTCCACGGGAGAGGTGTCCACAGTAACGAATATTCAGGAACATAAAAACGTGCAAAAATTATAACTGCGATGTTTACTGTGGGCCGAGGAACGATCGAACTTCTCATAAAGTGCCTTAAAAGACTCAAGAGTTGGGCGTGCTTCTTACATGTAATGCTGTAATATTTATAAATGAATGAATGTATAAGATTTCCAGACTTGACAATCCATTTTAAGGTGGCCAAAAAATAAACACATTTGACTTTTTTTTTTAATTTGCAAGATGACTTGATATCAAATGATCAGTGGTAGAAATGAGATTATGTAGGCCCAATGAATGAACCCAAGAAAATCAGTTTCCGGGTTGCGTTAGAGAAGACAAGATGTGATTTTTTACCCAGCCTACAACTATTTTGCAATCATGAATTGAATTATAAATGGCACGCTGTCAAATTTCAACAAAATGGAAAAATAGTTTGGCTGTTATGGGTGAAAAGATGCAAAATTAAACTCTGATATTCTCGATAATACCACTTTATAGCTAAGAACTTTTAAAAATCTGACTTACAACCTTGATCTGGCTTTTACCAATGGAGACCATGCGGATAAATCTTACCTAACAAAATATTCAGTGAACAATCATCAATGGCTTCACTTAAAATGAACACCAAATTAAATCACCATCTTCCACTTCAGCTCTGATTCGCACGAAAGGGACTTCTTCAGAGAAGACCAAAAAATGAGCTTTCATGTCAGTACATTTTAATCGGAACACTCAAAGAATTTCATTTGTATGATATTCCCACTGATTGCACTTAGAAAGAATCCCCCGCGGACTTGGACCAACCCAGCTGGTGTATGATGTCTGAATCTGAATGCGTCTGTAACAACATTAAACTTCTTTATTGACTTTTGACTTAATTATTGCTACAAGTGTCGTTGATGAAAATAAACAATAAGTGAAACAGCAACTACTTAATTACATACACTTATTTCTGTACAGTTCTTATAATTACCAAATGCAAACCAGAACTTTTAATGTTATCATAACTGTAAAGTAACTTTATACATTAGTAATAACATAGGTTCTGTTGTTTAATCTTACATGAACGTTTGGCCTCTTAAACCCTTAAACTTGACGCTGGACTACAACCAAAGTTCCTTGTCTGTAATAAAGCATAACCTTAATAAAGCATTGTACGTACTTTAATACTTTACAGGTAAAAACTAATGCTACGGAGGAGATTGTGCTTGTTGCGCCCTGCCAATAAATGTACAATCAAGTTTTAGAACACGTGTTTCAAAGCTCACCTTAAGTACCTCTTAAAGTTTCTTTAAATGTAAATACTGAACTATGTAGACAGACATAACTGGGTGGCACTAATAATACAAAATATCTAACACTATCCAATCACTGTGGGCTGTTTTACTTTACATATGCAAGGAATGTGGTATTTTCTAGAACTAGTTTCTTTTACAGGATCCCACCATTCATCGGGCGTTAACTCCATACATACATTCTAAACTACGCTAAGCTATGAGCGGATTTTGGCACAGTTATCTCTTTAAAGTTTATACATTAACAATGAAAACGTGCCTTGACATTTGACAGGTTTCCACTTAATTTTAGCAGGGAATTATGATTTTAGCAAACAGCAAGTGACGCATTGACTGTTGATGCCCATTGCAACATACATATAGATTCTGGAAACCTTACATATGAATGCGTTCGTCTAAAATGATCCAAACTAAAGTACACTCGCCCATGTAGCACGATGTAACAGAAGAAAAATGTTTATCCCACCATTAAAATCAATAACATAAAAAATGTCTAGGAAAAAACATATAGAAAACAATTTTAATGCGAAATATTTATGTTGCGCTCTAAACCTAAGGATGCGCAATGTCCGCGTGCAAAAAAAAACATCCTTTCTCAACTAATGCAATGTAATTCTGACTTAACAGCGTCCTTACATTTTTAATAAACCCCACTCTATACTGTTACGTAAGTTTACAAAATCCCGTAATTTCAGGTGCACCCCCCTCCCTCCCCCGTTACGTAAGTTTACAAAATCCCCGTAATTTCAGGTGGCCCCCCCCCCCCCCCCCCCCCCCCCCCCCCCCCACGCTCCCTCCTCCGCTCCGATGTTCTACTCCTCCTTATCAGACAACAAAATTTAAGTATTCGTGGCTGGACACATCACTGGGACGTAGGTCATTTCCAGTGCAATTCATTCTGCGATTCTGCGCCCCAGGAAGAGCGTATCTAACATCGGCGTCCAAGAAAGGGGTGTAAGTATCTTCAATTTCGCCTCTGATCCCACCGTTCTCTCGGTCATCGATCGCTAGTGGCGTGTAGATTTGAGTCGCATCTCGACAGGTCTCGCCTAGAGCACAGTAAGGGCCAGAGAACTCAATGCCCGGATGTCCTGATCTATATGTACACAGAGGATTGTTTTGCGAGCCACGATCATCGACTCTGTTGCCGTTTGTCTCGGAGTCATTCTGAAACGGACGTCAAGGCAATATGATCCAAATTGCTTTATAAATAAGAAAACCAGATGACCTGACTCTGACTGACCCTGGTCTCTGGCTGCTAGTTTGGAAATATTGCAAACTACACTTCGGGAATACGCATTCCAAATGCTTTAAAGTATTGCTTATGCAGTTTCTAGGGACTTTAATGTTGATGCATTTATTGGGAGGGGAAAGGATAAAAGCGCATGCTTAGTATGATATTGAAACAGCTATGTCGCCTACCAGATTTGCACCTGGAACATTTGGATCATTCTGATGTTTTCTGAAAATCAATTTGAATAACAGTTTATTTGATGGATATTCACTTCTTTTATGTTTCTTCTAATGAAAACTAGCTCTCAACTTAAAATGATTCACCTTCTTCAAATATTTGGTTGTAAACTTCAACTATCTATCAGTTCGTAAAAGTCCGCTTAATAATCTAGTGATGTCTGAACATTAGGCTGCTGCACTACAATAGCATGAATATCAAAATAAAACTTGAAAACAACCAAGGGTTAAATATAGGCCAATTAGATAGAAATCGGAAAATATCTGTTCAAAAATTCTTTGCGGGAAGAATGCGACGACATTTTTTTGGTATTTCTTTACGTACGTTATGCTATATCAAGCTATGTGGTGGCATTTGGTCCAGTTAAGTGACAAAGACTTGACTTCATATGTAACTTGAATATTGTACACGCACCTTTGCCTGCAGTCGTAAATAACATATATCACAGCTACTGCAATCAACACACCACCAATCACACACCCAGCGATTTCGCCGGCGTGCGGGAAGGCGGAAGTAGGTCTGCCAACTGCCGACAAACTGGGTACATCTGGAGGGCAAAAATATACAACATATATTACAGAATACAGGTTTACTACAGTACTTTTATTCACCGGAACAAATTTCCAAAATTGGAAGTAACGATTTATTCGGTGGAGCGTGGATTCCCAGTAACACATGTAAACCACTTCTACTACATGTAGTTTCTTATATGACTCAAATAAATTCAACATGCCAAGGGATAAACTGAATTGATCACTTGATCAGCCATAAAAAAGCTCTCGACTGCTCCTTTCTTTAAATTTTTGGTCGGAAAATTAACCTTCTTTCGTGACCTACTTTTCTGCCCCATTAACATACAGCATAGAATGCTAGTAGAAAAATCCGTTTAAACATCATTTTCGGAAAAAATTAAACAATGCCTTTTGGTAATTCTCTTAGTTATACTACTTGAAACTATATGCTGGCATTTGGTTGGTTTTTGTGACAAAAAATTGACTTTGTATGCATCTTTAAATACGAAATCGAATCTTCTACAATTATTGCAGCACAACTTTTCCCGTTTTCTTTCATATTCCATTGATCATTTGAGCCTACATGAAATGACCCATGCATCAAAAAGACAAGAGCAAATCTATTTTTCAATGGCAGATGCTATTTTAGTATTTATCTCAGATAATGGTTTGGATTTCATTAGGGTTATTGGGCTTATTGATCATGATAACAATTGGCCTAGATATCAAAGTCAGGCGATTGTACTAATAGTGGCTTAATGAAAAAGACACGTGGTAACGATGTTTTTCCAACTATTTCATATTGGTCATTAGATACCACAACAAAGCCAAATAGTAACCCGAAGGAACTGATTTCCACAGATCCAACAACATTTATTATTTTGATATTGCAGATTGTAATTACTATAATTATTTTGATTTTCATCTTGGAACAAATCTGGAGAAGATATTTTAAATCAAAAAGAAAAACTTCAGTTTTGGAGATTTCTAACAATGAACATTGCATATCAATTCCAATCAAAAATCTATCAGCTTGTCCAAAATACTGGGTTTTTCAAAGTGATCATTTTTCTTTTGATATTTTAAGAGTTGAAGGAATTTACAGACCATATCTACTGATAAATTGGCATGGTTTTCAAGTTATAAACCTCATAAATGGAAAGACCATTACTTTGAAAGAAGCTATCCCGTTGAAAATGTTTACAGCATTTCGCCTAAGGAGATTACTCAAAAGCGAATATAATGCGTTTTTTGTGTATTAAACATGCGAATGCACTTTTCTATGTTCAGTTCG